GGCTTCGCAAACCCAGGCTGCGACACCTCCTGAATGCAACTCCACGCCCCGAAGCCAAAGAAAGCAGTTTAGAATTCCTTGCCCTCGGCAGGCGAAAGCAACTGGACTGACACCAGAAAGATTCATGCAGCCTCGTGTCTGCAAAGTCGGTCGGCTTGGAGTTGAGTGTTGTCGGGTGGCTGTGGGAGTCATTGTACTACTGCTAGTACTCAAGAGACGACGACAACAGCTGGCAGCGGCTTCCTTGCCTTTCCAACATCAGTGTGGGGCCCTGTCGTGGCACCGTCTTGGCATGTAGCAGTGTTTTGTACTGGAATAACTAGCCTTTCCAATTGGAGCCTTTTGTCTCGGGAGCAAACTGCGCAGTTATCCGTACTGTAGTGCATCGATCGCTGCAGTTGAATGGGCCGCTTCTACCACAGAAGCTTGAATACTTTTTACTCGGGTTTAGTATTTAGTTTTGTCCTCTCTCGGACGGGGGTGCCAGCTAGCTTCTCTGTTGGTTGGGGGGTTTTCTCTTTCCCTCTCGATCTCTTGTGTGAGGGTTTGCGGTCTTGCCGCTGTGAATGGCTGGGTTTGGCTTGGGTACGCTCTCAAAACGGTGGCTTTTCCTACCTTGGCTCCAGTACGTGGGATCCTCCGCTTCCGCTTCGAAGAGGTTTCCTATAAGACAAGTTGTTTGTGCGACAGGGTCTTGAGTTAAACAGGCCCTTCAATCGGACAGCCCTGCGAGGAGATCTCATTCTTTGCCGGGTTTGGGCTTTGGGATTTACTATTCTTGCTTTCGACTCCTGCGATGCTCACCAAGTAACTAATTACGTGTACAATTCATACAGGCATTCTCACCTCTTGTCTGCAGAAGCCCGGACACTCCTGGGTCCTGAGCCCTCTGCGCCCCAACATCCAAAATCCTGCGCGCGAACTGGCTCAAAATCGCGCACCCCTGAGCCCGAAGCCCGGTAAACTTGCTTCCATTTGATTCTGCTTTCCCAGGTACCTCATGAAAGAACTGGCCGGCTCACAAGCAAGACAGATACTCGGAATGCATCGTACGGCTCTGGGAAACTCGAGCGTGGGAGTGGCTTCAAGACTGGGGAGGGGCTTGGAAAACCTAAAACCCCAAAACCCTAAACCCGAACACCCTGATCCCTAGACCCTAAAACCCTGAACCCTAAACCCTAAACCCCAAATCCCCTTGAGTGCCAGCCAGACCTCTGGAACCGAGAACTTGAGCCCCTGGGGGAGTCTTCGATTTCCTGGTCCGTTCTACTGTTCTTAAATATTTGTGACGGAAGCCTAGCTGTGCAAGTGCTGACCTACGAGACAGGCCATGCACTGACAAGCCGCAGCTTCGTGTGGATCGAAAGCTATGCCAAACTATGCTCAGGCAGCCGGTCTTAACCCGCAACACCTTGATCAACGACACCACTGCAAAAGCCTCAAGCATGGAAATGAGTGTACTTCGCATCGAAGGATTGCCCGGTTCTGCTGGGAAAGAAGCAATCACGATGGCGTGATCTTTCGTCAAAGAGCTCGCCGTACCTCTGCGCTGTTCGGGGGTTAGGGTTTATCAGAGTAGGGAGGGAAACTATTCAACCAGGAGCTGTGACTGAATGCTTCGAGTGACCCGTGCTTTCTGACTTGCGGAAACCCTTTGCGCATTGCTTCCTCGGGCCTGGTTTTTCAGAGCCAGGGTTGGGGAGTCTGGGTTCGGGATTCGCTGAAACCCTTCTTTAAAGGCAAAGTTGATGCGATGCAGCGCGGCTAGGACCACTAGGGCGAGAAGAACAGCAACCTCTCTGAAAATTGGGAAAGCTTCAGCTGCAAGAAAGCATCCAAGCTTCGTGCACAAGAAGATGTGGGAAGTTTGAAGCGGCTCAACCACGGCAAAGGATTATAGGATGACTTCGAGACCTCAGCACAATAGCCAGGACGCAAGGAACACGAGCGACCTGGTTCTTCCCAGCTTTGCCTGCTGCACTGTTGCTTCTTGTCTGACCTATGTTCGGCCCGTTTACTGCTTGCTTTTTGTGTCTGCTGTCTCTCTTTTAAACGTGGAAATTTCGAAAAAGACTGTGCTGCCTGACCGATGTATTCCCAAAGTTTGGTATGTTGGTGTCGGGCTGCAACTTGTCAGCAGCTTCGACAATCCCGGGCCCAACAACTCCATCGGTGCGTCATTCCTACTGCTTTCCGCACCTTTCCGAAAGTCGAACCTGAAAGCCCAAATCCGAAAGCCCGAGCCATACCTTCCAGAATAAATTGACTCCAGAAACTCCGCCTTGCCAGTCATCGCGCAGACAGTCCGGGACAACCTTGACAGGAAGCAGGAGGCGCGAAAGCAGCTTCCCTGTCCCTTGTTTGCCACGGCTCGAGTCTAGGGGTTAGGGTTTATGTGCCGCAGTGGGTCTTGGACATGTTTCGTGGAAAGGAAGTAAGTGACCAGGTGAAGAGCTGTGAAGAATTCTCTTGTGGATGTTTTGCCAGCAGTTGCATCTGCTGTTTGAAAGACGAGGTTTGAGAACTCTTGGCTTAAGTCCCAGCAGAATCCTAAGCGCACGCCCGAGCCCTCAGCCGCAGACTGCAGCTCAGTCATGACACCGATATTGATAGATCCGATAGGCAGTCGTGAGAACAATCACAGATGCAAAAACCTAGTCGCGAGCCTCAGGCACTAGGAGTGCGCGACCTCGACGGCGCCATGAAGTTTGTGAAGAAGGCTATACTGCTCCTTGGGGTTCCTTCATATAATCAGTATAATATCAATAAATAGCGTGTACTACAGCTTTACCCGAGGTTCAAGGGTCGGGGCCGACACGTCTCACGGGAAAGATGGGGTGGCTGAGAGTGTTTTCAAACTTCTCCATACGGCTTTCAAGCTTCAGGCTATGCCTTGGGCTGAGTATCTACACAACTTGCGCCAAACAGCCGGAGCGTCCAGGCACAAGATCAAAAGAAGAGAGTGGAATCATTTGATGAAGGCTTTCCGCCCAGCCCTGACATCGCAAAACGAAGGCTGGAAAGGATCGCCAGGAAAGAAGGGCTCGATGTAACATCACACTCCCCGAGCTTGGACCCAAAGAAGCCCGATGCCCCACAGTACAGTGTTATGATAACCCGGAAAAAAATTCCATACACCCTACACAGCAATGCTGGATAAAACGCATACTCATGAAAGGTCGTTGGCTGAGAGCGTTCTTGCGGCCCAAGAGCGGCAACGACCTGGTTGCGAACTGGGTTCAGAGAGGGAGCTGTGGAATCAGCTTGGGCTCAGGGCATTAAGGTTTAGAGCACATTAGGGCATCCTCTTAAATAAGCTGGGCGGATGATTCGGTGGGGTTCTTGATGCTGCAAGCAGCTCCCTGAAAGCTTGCAGGCCAGGTCCAAGGCCATGGGCCCGATGAAAGACCCCAAAACGCGACGCCCCCAAACATTCCAGCTGATGTCTTTCTCGCTCTTTTTGGGATCTCCCTTTTAAGGTCGTCCGACCAGTCTACATGATTTCAGTTCTCCGAGCTTGGTGGAATTGCCCTGGCAAACCTCCCCGGGGAGGTTCCGGCCAAGAAAAAAACTGTTTACATAGACCTGGTACCTGTTGGACCTGCTCCGGTCGTGAAGCGACGCATGCTACATCTGTACATTGCATACTGCTTGGGATCAGTGCCGATCAGAAAAGAACAGGTAGAACTCATATTTCAAGAAGGTAGATGATTGTCCGGCAGACCTCATGCCTCGGCGCAGATCAGCAATCCTGGTAGGTCCTGCAGGTACTAGGGGGCGCTTTAGAACTTAGCTGCCATTGGGCCAGAAGCCGATTGAGAGGATCCCACAGCCTCTTTCCAGGTTCACGGCTTACAGTAGAAAACAACGTGTACACGAGTTCGAGTCTATGGTTGAGTTCAGAGCATCATCAGACATATGCTTAGGTGAGCGCTTTGGGCTTTTTTTGTGTCACCCTGACCCCCCAGGTGCCTACTACAGAGGGTACTAGAGCCCCTAGCGCCCTATATACAATCAGGGAATGGGGGCTCCCTCTTCTCGCGATGGCCCGGTGGAGCAGTGAAGTGCTACCGGGCTGAGAGCCAAACGAGCACTTTGCACCCCTTCGACCCCCAGCCCCGTCCTAAGAGTACTGCAAGTCATCTCGATTCCAGACAGATCTAGCTCACCCCCCCCCCCCCGCCC